TGATAATCGATTATCAAACTTCAGAGAGGGCTGACAGTCGATTATCACATTCTGATAATCGACTGTTGCTCAGCTTTGTTCAAAAAATCTGCAGAACGATGAATAATCGATTTTCAAGTTGATAATCGATTATCCATCGTCTTCTACCTCGAGCCAACTTGCGGAAATGTCACTTTTACTCACCAAACTTCAATTAAAGTATATATAAAAGTGTTCTCCAAGGTTCATAGATCATTTTAGCATCATTAATTCATAATTTTAATATCAATTTCATGGTTTATGATTCTTAGTTCTTCACGCATGTCAAACACAAAACTCAACCAAATGACTATTTATGAACGTAGAAACGACCTATATGAACATTCTAGTCATTATATATATCTACGGGTTTACCTTAATGCTAAACAATGATTCCGGTGAAAAGACGGCGAAACTTCCGGCGAACACCACAGCTTGCTCCGGCAACTTGACACCAAATTGGTAGTACTAAAACGCTCCTCACACTCAGCTCTTTCTATTGGGATAAGAATGATGAAGAATGGTGGACAATTTGGGGGTTTTATAGTAGAGGGTTAGTAGAAGAAGCCATGGGTGATGTCCTTGCTCCCTGTTCCAGCGGCTGAGTGGAGCAAACGGCGATCTTCTACGGGTTTTAAACGCAAGTCCCTGATTGGGACTAATTTTGGTCCCAGTCGGGGTACACTTTTTGGTCAAACTTTCTCCGAATTAAAATCCGATTGAACCGTTGCGGTCAGACAGTCAAACTCTACATAACGATATAATTTTTATTATTTATTGACAAACTTTATAATTCACATATTTTTGGGTCCTTCTCAGTAATTAATTAATTATCAATTAATTAATTCTGATAGGCTTATTTTTGGGGCGTTACATGCTGCCACGTGTAACGCACTCAGTCTAATAAAATTAGACCAATTTTGTGAAGTAATTAGGAAAATCTGGCTTCACTTAGCGGTTTTGTGAAGATATCCGCCAATTGTTCTTCGGTTGAGATGTACTCAATTCTGATATCCTTCTTCTCAACATGATCTCTGATGAAGTGGTGCTTGACATCAATGTGCTTGGTGCGAGAATGATGCACTGATTGTCACTTTGATTGTCACAAAATATTGTCACCTCCTTTGTTTTGACTCCATAGTCTAGTAGTTGTTGCTTTAACCATAAGATCTGAGCGCAGCAAATACCAGCAGCAATGTACTCTGCTTCTGCTGTTGATGTAGAGATGGAGTTTTGTTTCTTGCTGAACCAAGAAACAAGATTTCCGCCAATGAATTGACAAGTGCCAGAGGTACTTTTCCGGTCAACTTTGCATCCGGCAAAGTCAGAATCTGAGTATCCCACTAACTCAAATGAGCTGCTTTTAGCATACCATAAGCCCATGTTTTGAGTTCCTTTAAGGTATCTAAGAATCCTTTTGGCTACTATTAGATGACTGTCCTTTGGATTTGATTAAAATCTAGCGCGAACACCTACTGCATATGAGATATCCAAACGGCTTGCAGTAAGGTAGAGTAGAGATCCAACTATTCCTCTGTAGAGAGTTTGATCAACATCCTTTCCATTTACATCCATTTCAAGTTTGGTGGATGTGCTCATGGGAACAGAAACAGATGACTTCTGATCAACTTTGAACTTCTTGATAAGATCCCTTGTGTAGTTGGCATGATTGATAAGAGTCCCATCACTTCGCTACCTGATTTGAAGACCAAGGAAGTAGTTGAGTTCCCCCATCATGCTCATTTCAAATTTCCCTTGCATGAGGGTGGGGAACTATTGGAATGCATGAGTTCAACCCTTTCTGTGTTGTTAAGTGTTGACTCATAGGTTTTGATAATTGACAAACACAATTTATTCAAGTCAAGATCAAAGTGCTACAACGACAAACACGAAGACTTGAAGTGCCATTCCTTGAAGTATTCAAGAAGGTGCACAGGATTTTATTGGAGTCCGAGACGCGTTCGGAGCGCCTAACGGAGGACTCAGAGGAGTAGAAGAATTTCCGAAGACTTTTTATTTATTTGTGTCAAACACTATATAAAAATATTTATTTTGAGAGTAAATATAAAAATAATATATTTTTGGAGTCAATTGAAAAATCCTTTTAACTGTTCAAAATACATTCATTGAGTCAGTTACAAAAGGTGTGTCAAACATTTATCAAAATATTTATTTTGATATTAGAAAAATTTTTTGGAAAGCAAAAATATTTTATTCAAATATTTTTGTGTTTATCGTTTGACACACAAAATATATTTGGGACTCATTTTCTACACCAAAAATACACGCTCATAATTCAAATTTGAATTTGAATTATATTTGTTGATTGGGGAGCCTATTGATTTGATTTTTATGTCCTAAACAAGTGCTAATTTCCAAATTAGCACTTCACCCCGCACACATGGTTGTGTCCTTCTTGTTTGGGCATAATTGCTTCAAAAATCGATTTTTACACTTTGGCAAAAATCGATTTTCATTTCGTCCGCTGAAGGATTTTTGCACAGACTGCATTAATCGATTACCATGGTCCATTAATCGATTTTTATGCTGCATTTTTTCAGCAAACGATTTTTTGTTAGCTTCAACGGACATATTCTTTCAACCCCTTTATAAACTTCATTCCTTGGTCATTTTTGAGTATGAACAAGCACTCCAAAACTCCCCAATCTTGATGTTATAATCCTCCATTCAATTCTTCGTCAAATTTATATATTTTGAGAGAAAACTAATTGTTTTTTCAAGAGAGTGTTCTTGTCATCCATAGAACTTAATCTTTTCTCATTTATACTCTTGTGAGAGTCATTGTTGTGAGGCTTAAGAAGGTTATTCTTCTTATTGTATAAGACTTATGTGACTTAAGTCTTGAGTGTGAAGTCTTGTAGAGGGCATATCTACAAGTGGTTGTGTCGAGACTTGTGGGATTCAAGTTCTCGAGGTGGTGAACCAGTATACATCGGTGGGTTCTTTGCCTTCTCTCTTTTATTTTTGCTGCACTTTCGTTTATCTTTTTAATCCTGCAAAAATCGGTAAACATTCTCAACAACTCTATTCACCCCCCCTCTAGAGTTGCACGCATTGTCTAACAGGAACTTGGTGCATAGAGCTTCCTTAGTGGAGCCAAATATGATATCGTCCACATAGATTTGGACCAATAGGAGATCTTCACCGTCTTGTAGTTTGAACAAGGTTTTGTCAATGACTCCTTTGATGAATCCATTGTCTATTAGGAATTGAGACAATGTATCATACCAGGCTCTTGGTGCTTGTTTGAGTCCATACAAGGCCTTTTTGAGTCTATACACTTGATCACCTTTAGTGTGTAACTCAAGTCCTGGAGGTTGTTCCACATAAACTTCTTCCTCTAGGTTTGCGTTGAGGAAAGCGCTTTTGACATCCATTTGATAGACTTTGAAGTCTTTGTGAGCAACAAAGGCTAGAAATAACCTTATAGATTCAAGTCTAGCCACTGGAGCGAAGGTTTCATCAAAATCTATACCTTCTTCTTGATAATATCCTTTGGCTACAATTCGGGCTTTGTTTCTGACAACAATGCCATTTTCATCCATCTTGTTCCGGATGACCCACTTTGTCCCAATGACATGTTGATGAGTAGGTCTTGGAACAAGTTTCCAGACATCAGTTCTGGTGAATTGATTGAGTTCTTCTTGCATTGCATTGATCCAATCAGAATCAGCTAGAGCTTCTTCAATGCTCTTTGGTTCTACTTGCGAGATGAAACATGCAAGCATGGCTTATAGATTCTGTTGAGCGCTCCAGGTGCGAACGCCTGATTGAATATCTCCAATGATTTGTTGAGGAGGATGATCCCTTAACCAACGAAGATTGTGTTGAATAGGATTCACTGGCTGATCTAGCTCTGCTTCTGGTTGAACAATGGAGTTTGTTGGTGTTTCCAGATGGATTGGTACTTGATCACCATTTCTGGAATTGTCACCATGTGAGAGATCCGGGATTTCGGAAGACTGGCCATGATTTCCGATAGGCTCAGCGCAGTCTGAATCCAGACTTCTCCGAAAAGTCTTCAGTGGTAGACTTCCGAATGGAATGAACTCCATTGGCTTCATTTTATCTCCTTCATTTACTTCTTCATCTTTGTCTGAGAGATCCAGAACCTCATGATCAGGCTTTGATGGCTTTTCAACCACATGTTTTTCATCAAAAACAACATGTATTGACTCTTCAGTGATCATGCTTCTTTTGTTGAAGACTCTAAATGCCTTGCTAACCAGAGAGTATCCAAGGAAGATGGCTTCATCTGATTTCTCATCAAAAGTGTTCAGATGGTTCTTCCCGTTGTTTAACATAAAACACTTGCTTCCAAAAATATGGAAATATGATATATTAGGCTTTCTCCCATTCCATAGCTCATAGAGAGTTTTGTTGTGCCTTTTATATATAATACTCCTATTTTGAGTATAGCAAGCTGTGTTAACAGCTTCAACCCAGAAGCTTTTTGGTAAGAAAGCTTCTGCTAGCATGGTTCTTACTGCTTCCTTCAAGGTTCTGTTCCTTCTTTTAGCTACACCATTTTGCTGTGGTGTCCTTGCTGGGGAGGTCTGGTGAAGAATTCCGTTTTCTTCACAGTAATGAATGATGATCTCATTCAAGAATTTTGTGCCTTTGTCAGATCTGATCTTCTGGATGGTCTGACTTGCTTGATTTAGAATCAACTTCATGCAGTTTGTGAGCTTCCCTTGAGTTTCCTTCTTACTGTTGAGGAACATTGTCCACGTGTATCTTGAATAGTCATCAACCACTACTAAGACATACTTCTTTCCACTTAGACTTATTAGAGTAACAGGTCCAAATAAGTCCATGTGAATAAGGCTTAGTATCCTTGTAGTTGAGTGCGTTGGTTTCGCCTTGAAAGTGGACTTGACCTGTTTTCCTTTTTGACAAGCATCACAGATGCTTTCCGTTTTGTATACAGCCTTGGGAGGACCTTCCACTAACCATTCTTTGGACAGCTTGTTGAGAGTTTTGAAGTTGAGATGACTCAACCTCTTGTGCCAAAGCCATAGAAGGTTAGTGTCACCTTTGCTGATTAGGCATGCTTCCTTGACATCTTCCCCCATTACTTCGTAGATGTTCCTGATTCTCTTCCTAGTGAGAATGACTTCATTTGTGGAGATGTTCTTGAGGGATGCCATGTCCTTGCAGAATTCCAGAGAATAACCTTTATCATAGAACTGACTTATGCTTAGAAGGTTATAGTTGAGACCTTCCACATAAGACACAGCCTGGATGGTTAGTCCCTTATACACCAGATTTCCTAGCCCTTTTGTAAGGCCAAAATCATTGCTTCCTCCAAAAGTAACTCTTGCAGCATCATAGGGAATTAGATTGCTCAAAAGGCTCGCATCACCCGTCATGTGTCTTGAACAGCCATTGTCTAAGTACCAGACACCTGGGTACTTAGTGGCTTCCTGCATTTATAACACAGATAAGATTCGGGGGAGAGTTACTTACCTGTAGCTTTCCCTTGGATGGCCTTCTGATGGAGTCAGTTTTCTTGAAGAACTTCTTGAATTTCCGGAATTGCTTGACCATCATAGTGAATTCCTCTTCGTAGTTCTCTGCCTTCGAGCTTGTTGGCTGGCTGGTGGAAGGAGTGTCACAGCTTCTTGGGCATGTCCCTTCGCTTGCTGAGACTCTGGATTCATCATCAGTGCTGTGGGATATGGGGTGACTTGTTCTTCCTTCTTCTTCTTCTCCAGCTCGTTCTCATAGGTTCTGAGCTCGTCTAGGAGACCTTGAACAGTGTAGTTCTCCAGATTTCTTCCATTGTTGTGGCTTTGGTGTACCACTCAGCCAGAAGAGATCTCAGCAACCTTATGTGTTGGAACACACTTTTTTATTTCGTTAAACTAATCTCGTGTTCATTTCTGACAGAGTTTGATAATTGCCAAATTGCCGTGGATATGAAGAGTTTCGTTGAACAACTCAAGGCATGAAGTATGGCATGGAACAAGACCAAAAGACTCAAGGAAAAAAATCAAGAAATGAAGACTTAGTCGAGTCGGTCTTATTGTAATCAAAACCGACAATCAATTCAAGTCTCGGTTCTCAAAGAGTCAAAATAATTTTACAAAATCATAAAACGTTTTTTGTGCATCAAAATAAATTTTTTTAAAATAAAAATTTAATGTCTTAAAAACCCTGGTCCGTGCCCAGACCAAAAACCACCTCGGTCGGCGTTCGGCATCGGCGTCCGGCATTCGGGGTTCGGCGTTCGGTTTTCGACGTCCGAACCAACTTGGTGGTTTTCAATATTTTTAAACCTCGTTTTTACCTCTGGGCATATTTAAAAGGTTCCCAAATAATTGTTTTACAAAAACCACTTTTGTATCTTGGTCAATCGGTCTAACACGTGAAAAACGGTCAAAACCGTACACACGTGACAAACGACCTCGAAGACATGGTTTTTATCAAACAAGTCTTGGTTTTACTATTTTATACCATATACAATGTTTTTCAAACTTGGTTTTTACTTTTGGGAACACTTCGTTTTTGGACCTCGGCTTTTCGGGTTAAGTTTCTCGCCGGATGGTTTTAGCCAGCTAAAAATCGATTGTCACCTAATGACATTCGAATATTTGCTACTGCAGTTTCTCAACTCAAAGTTCAGAACCATTTAATAGTCGATTGACACAAGTTGTCATTCGTTTATCCGAGTTTCTTGTTCAAACCTAGAAACTTCTGAGAGGCCTGATAGTCGAGTGACAAAACTTGATAATCGACTATCAGTGTTACCGTTGCCCTCCAACGGATAGAATTTTAAATTTTTGGAAACGGAATCTTTCGATACTCGATTATCAAGCTTTGACAATCGACTATTGCTCTGTGTCTCTGAAAATTTTGTCCTGATCCTGTTGGAAATTTTGCAACGGGTTTATCCTATTTTGGGCTATAAAATGGCACACAAATCCTCTCATTTTACACACAATTCTTCAAAATTTCAATAATCTTTCATTGCATAAGCATTCCTATTTTTCTTAGCTATTTGAGAGCCAATTCTTGAAGAAATTGTCATGTTCTTGAGCGTTTACTAGTTCACTCATATCTACTCTTTGTGAGTGTTTTATTCCTGAGTGTTTAAGTTTTTCTATACACTTTAAGGGAGGTTGTTCCCTTGTTGTAAACTCGAAGGAAGTCTTTCGTTCCTTCGTGAGAAGTATTGGAGTGCGGTATCTCCGAGCAATGGCGTTGAGGCTCGTGTGACTCGAGTTCTCAAGTTGTACCGGTTTGTTGAGCACCTTTAAGCTTAACGGAGTTAGTGTAACTCGAGAGAGTCTCTCGGGAGGCTGGATTAGCCACACGTTGTGGTGAACCAGGATAAAATTCGGTATGCTCCTTCCTTATGCTCTTTACTTTATCGCTCTCATTTTTAATTTCCTGGGATTTTGTTTTAAACGCTATTCACCCCCCCTCTAGCGTTGGGTCTATTTTCTAACAATTGGTATCGGAGCCATACTCTCTGAAAGACTTAACCGTTTGAGAGAAACGATCAATGGCTTCTACTCAAAACTTATACGCAGGTTTAGGTGAAGGACAATCCACCACGAGGCCTCCGTTGTTTGACGGAACGAACTACACGTATTGGAAGGAGCGGATGAGGACTTACATCCAATCCACCAACTTTCTCCTGTGGAGAATCATCAAGAAGGGCGAAGATATGCCTATGAAGAAGGTCGGGGAAACCACTGTTCCTAAGACCGAGGATGAGTATGATGCGCAAGACATCAAGAAGATCGAGAACAACGCAAAAGCCATCAACATCCTCTATTGTGCCATGAACCCGGATGACTACTTGAAGATTTCTTGATGTTCCACCGCCAAGGAAATGTGGGACAAGCTAGAAATCACCTATGAAGGTACGGATCAAGTCCGAGAAGCTAAAATTGATTTTCTAACCCATGAATATGAATTGTTTCGTATGAAGGAAAATGAGAAAATCAATGAGATGTTTGAACGATTCTCAAAAATCGTGAACGACATTCACGCTCTCAAGAAGACGTACAGGGACAAGGAGCTCGTGAGAAAAATCCTGCGAAGTCTCACACCAGAATGGTGCTCTAAAGCCGATGTTATCCAAGATTCCACTGGCATCACCAACGTCACCATCGACGGGCTTAGAGGTAACCTCAAAACCTATGAGTCTACCATCCTTTTTCCCTTTTTAGGTGAACAAAAGAAGAAGGGGATTGCACTCAAGGCTTCCACAAGCCAAGAACCCACCATGGAGGAATCAAGTGATGAAGACAACGAGTTCAGGCTCATTATCAAGAAATTCCACAAGTTCATGCGAAAGGAGTATGAACGAAAGGGCAAGAAACATGGAGGACCACCCAAATGCTATGGGTGTGGAGAAATTGGGCATATCAAGCACCGAGCTTACATCTCGTGGGGAGGTGATTCCGGCGACGAATCATCGGAAGGCGAAGAAAACGAAAGTGCCAACCTTTGCCTCATGGAACACGAGGAACCACCGGAAGAGGTATGTACCATTTCTAAAGATTCCTACACTTTTGATGATGTTCAAGAAGCTTTCAATGAACTTTATGATGAATATGTCAACGCTTCTAAAATTAACAAGGATTTAAAGAAACAACTTAATTCTATGGAGAAGGAAGTTGATAAACTATCAAAAGATAATGAAAAACTTAAAGAAGAAAATAAGTTTTTCGGAAAAAGAAGCACCGACAAACAGGAAATTTCCAAATGTAATTCTTGTACATCACTTAAGCAACAAGTTGCAAAACTTGAAAGAACCTTGAAGAAGTTTGGTGTTTCTCATAAAAATCTTAATGGTGTTCTTGATAATTTGCAACTCACTAAACATGGCTTAGGGTTTGAAAATGAAACTAACAATAATAAAGAAAAAGTTGAGCAACCACCTAAACAACCTAAGGCTCAACTTAGGAAAAATAAAATGAGCAATAATAGACAACCTAAAAGAACTAGGAACACTAGACCACCTAGAAAGAACACTAGGATGAACAATGGTCAAGTTAGAAAACCTAGAAACAATTTTATAAATGTGCATAAACAAAACATTTCTCAAACTAGGATCAATCAATATAGAAAACCTAGCAACTATTATCAACCTAGGAGAATGCATAATCCAAATGTTATTTGCCATTATTGCAATAGGGTAGGACATAAAGCCCCGGTTTGCTTCACTAGGCATAGGCAATGCACTCAAAACCAATCACACTACCAACGTGCACCTAACGCCCAATGACCCAAAACGAATTGGGTACCTAAATCTTTTTAAATTGATTTGTAGGTGTGCTTGAAGGCATCAAGTGTACTTTGGTACCTTGATAGCGGATGCTCCAAGCACATGACCGGAGATGCATCCAAGTTCTTGCAAATTAAACCAACTAAAGGAGGAAATGTTGTCTTTGGTGATAATAGCAAAGGCAAAATAATCGGCATTGGTTCGGTTGGTAAAAACGAAACCTCCTCTATTGATAATGTGTTATTGGTTAAGGGTCTTAAACACAATCTCTTGAGCATAAGCCAATTGTGTGACAAGGGAAATCGTGTGACCTTCGATTCTAAATCATTCATGGTAGAACCTCTTAGTGACAATAAGATGATTCTTCGTGGTGATAGAATCAATAACATTTATATGGTTAACTTAGATGAATCTCCCTCTGACTTTGCCAAATGTCTCATGAGTAAGGAGGACGATATGTGGCTATGGCATCGTAGAGTAGCTCATTTCAACATGAACCTTTTGAATAAATTGGTTTCACAAGACCTAGTAGTTGGCCTTCCAAAACTAAAGTTTGAGAAGGATACCATTTGTGATTCATGTAAAAAGGGAAAGCAAGTAAGTGCCTCATTTAAATCGAAAAATGTTGTGTCTACAACAAGGCCCCTACAACTTTTGAACATGGATCATTTTGGACCATCAAGAACAAAAAGTTTTGGGGGAAACTACTTTGCCTTTGTGATTGTTGATGACTACTCTCGATTCGCATGGACATTATTTCTAACTCACAAAAGTGAGGCATTTCATGTTTTCAAAACTTTTCTTAAAAAGTTTCAAAATGAAAAAGGCTTAACCACCGTGGCCATACGAAGTGATCATGGTGGAGAGTTCCAACGAGATCTCTTTACCGAGTTTTGTGACGAACTAGGCATCGAGCATAACTTCTCCGCTCCACGTACACCACAACAAAATGGTGTGGTGGAACGTAAAAATCATTGTCTCGAGGAGATGGCTAGAACTATGCTCGATGAGGCAAAAATTCCTAAGTATTTTTGGGCGGATGCCGTGAGTACCGCGAGCTACGTGTTAAACCAAGCCGTCATTAGACCGATACTCATGAAAACCCCATATGAACTATACAAAGGAAGAAAGCCAAATCTCTCCCATCTTCGAGTCTTTGGTTGCAAATGTTTTGTTCACAATAACGGAAAAGATAACTTGGGTAAATTTGATGCAAAGTCGGAAGAAGGAATTTTTCTTGGTTACTCATTGCGTAGTAAGGCTTATAGAGTCTTCAACAAACGCACCTTAACCGTTGAGAAATCTCCTCATGTTGTCTTTGCCGAAAATGATACTCGCTTGGTGAGAAAGGTTTCTTGTGATGATCTTGTAGATTCATTAGAGAACATCTATCTCAATGACGAAGGAAACAACTCAAAGGAAGCCCAAGACGAAGAAGGAGAGCCACCTATGAACGAGGAACAACCACAAGAGGAAGAAACGCCAATGTCAAGGGCATGGAGGACTTCAAAGGACCATCCTCTTGACAAGGTAATAGGTGACATCAACCGAAAGGTAAGTACTCGTAGCTCTCTTAGGGACACCGTAGGTCACATGGCTTTTGTTTCTCAAATTGAACCTACAACCATTTCGGAAGCAATTGATGATCAACATTGGACCTTGGCAATGCAAGAGGAGCTTAACAAAATCAAACGAAATGACGTTTGGGAATTGGTGCCAAGACCCGATGATCATACCATAATTGGTACGAAATGGGTGTTCCGTAACAAACTGGATGAAAATGAGATGATCACTAGAAACAAAGCTAGGCTCGTAGCTAAAGGCTACAATCAAGAAGAAGGCATTGAATTCGAAGAAACTTATGCACCAGTAGCACGTTTAGAAGCTATTCGTTAATTACATGCTTTTGCTTCATCTATGGATTTTAAACTATACCAAATGGATGTTAAGAGTGCCTTCCTCAATGGTTTTATTCAAGAGGAAGTGTATGTTGATCAACCCCCGGGCTTTGAGGATTTTGAGCACCCGGAATATGTCTATAAATTAAAAAAAGCACTCTACAGTCTTAAACAAGCACCTCGTGCTTGGTATGAACGTTTGAGCAAATTTCTTTTGGACAACGGGTTCAAAAGGGGGAAGGTTGACACTATGCTTTTTATCAAGAGTAAGAACGATAACATCCTCTTGGTACAAGTTTACGTAGATGACATTATATTCGGAGCTATTAACGAATCTTTGTGCAAGGAATTCTCAAATCTAATGACAAATGAATTTGAGATGTCCATGATGGTAGAACTCAATTTCTTCTTGGGCTTGCAAGTCAAACAAATGAGAGAAGGAACCTTCATTTGTCAATCAAAGTATTGCAAGGAGCTCCTAAAAAGATTTGAAATGGATGGCTCCAAGGCAATGGCTACCCCGATGAGCACCTCCGAACACTTGGACAAAGATGAAAAGGGTAAGGAAGTAGACGTAAAGAAGTATTGAGGTATGATCGGATCCCTTCTTTATCTTACCGCTAGTAGACCCGATATCATGTTTAGCGTTTGTTTATGTGCAAGGTATCAATCTTGTCTAAAAGAATCGCACTTAATGGCGGTGAAACGGATAATGAAATATCTTGTTGGAACAATGAACGTTGGACTATGGTACCCCAAAGGGTCTTCCTGTCATCTTTTTGGCTATTCCGACTCGGACATTGCCGGTTGTAGATTAGACCGTAAAACCACGAGTGGGACATGTCACTTTCTTGGTAGCTCGTTAGTCTCATGGTTTAGTAAGAAGCAAGTCACTGTTGCGTTATCCACAACCGAAGCGAAATACGTTGCCGCCGGTAGTTGTTGTGCTCAAATCCTTTTGATGAAACAACAACTAGTGGATTATGGCCTTAGTATCGATCACGTTCCTCTTCGATGTGATAATACTAGCACCATAAGCTTGACGAAGAATCCAGTTATTCACTCAAGGACGAAACATATTGACATTAGACATCATTTCATTAGAGATCATGTTCACAAAACCTTTAGAGAAAGAGTCGTTCTTCCGCATTCGTAGTGAACTCGGAATTCTTGACTCCACGATGATCTAATTTGTGCATTAAATATTTAATTTTTGATCATTACTAACTTGAACGTCGGAGACGTTTTTAACTCTTTTTTGCAGGGTTCATTTTTTATTCATTTTCAGGTGTCAAAGTCAGGGGGAACACAGAAAGTCAATGTGTAAATCGAGTTACAGACTTGTGATACTCGACTATCACAGCCCGTAGAAGTTTGGGTCAATTAAGCTGAGAATCCAGACAATCGAGTATCAAAATTCTGATATCCGAATAACAGGGGCCGCTGAACTTTTCAAACTTCAGGAGCAAACCAATGTCAGTCGACAAGCAACATTATGTCAATCGACTAACAGGGTTCGCAGATCCTTCAGCGGAAAATCTGAGGTCACAGATAGTCGAGTTACAGGCTGTGTAAATCGACTGACAACGGCAGATTTTCAAAAATATGACCGTTTCAGAGCCCTTTGGAGAGCATTTATTTCCTCTTTGACTACACCAACGGATCTCTAGGCCTCCAACTCTATATATTGGTGATCTCTACTCATTGTTTACCCATTCCAATCATCTTCTCTCAATATATTCATCATAATTCATCAATCTTGCAATTGTTCTTCATTTTTTTGGCAAAATCTCTACAAAACGATCTCGCACCAAGAAGAACGTTGCTTCCTCCTCGGCTCCTCCTCCACCATCGGCGCACAAGTACCTCGATGGGTCGTTCCTTTGGTTCAACGACCACGCAGAGGCGACACGGTTCTCGGAGAATTTTGAGCACCGGGAAATTCTCCCTCCCCGGTTTTCCACCGCCCGCTTTATTCACGATTCCATTCCACGCGAGGCACGGGTTATCCTCAAACGTGGAAACTTCCTTGACCTCCTCTACATAAAAAAGGCTCACTATCAACCTTTTCTCGTTCGAGCTTTCTACTCGAATCTAAAAAAGGATGAGGACATAGCGTTGATTTCAAACGTCAATGGGGTGGATATCTATTTGAATGAGGAGAACATTCAAATACTCACTGGGCTTCGTCGGAATGGAGAGGATCTCGGTCTCTACGTCGAAGAGGGAGGGGCACGGTTCAATGAGACCGCCCTCTTAGAGGAAGTGGGAATCCAAAATTTTGCCCCCACTCCCCAACAGCGGCGCCCGACGATTACTTCCATGAATCCCGTGTTTCGATTCATATTTTATGTTTTGACGCGGATCCTCAAGATAAGGAAGTACAATCACACCGCTCTCTCCCAAGAGGACATAAACACGCTTCATGCGATGATTCACAACGCCAACATCAATTGGTGTAAATTTGTGATGACTCACATGTTTAGCGCCACCTCCGACGATCGGCCGCTCCCCTACGCCCTCTGAAAGGTAACCATGCAAGGATAGGCAACGGAATATAAAAATTTTTAACATCCTAACATGATTATCTTTCCCAGAATCACGTACTAAAACTTATAGTGAGTAAGAAATTTATACCTTTCTCCGTAAGCGGTAAAAACGAAGAAGTCGTAGGAAGAGCGTTGAAAGTGCAAACGTAACCGTTCAAGCGTCCGGTGTCCAACTTTGACACACGAACAACGCCGGAGTCTACCACAATCTTTATGCTAGTAAAGATTATAGTAGTATAAAATATAAAGATTAAAATTGGGATAATAATAATCTTGTATATTTCTTATAGAAAATATTTCTAATAATATTTAGAAAATATTATAGATATTTTCTATACACAAAATGATATTAATGGAACACAAAAGAATATTTTCTCTCACTAATATGGCCGAAACACACCATAAAAATGGATCATTATGAAGTGCTAATGGTGTGGTGTTTTAAATAAAAACAAAGATGCTCCATTATTTTTGTCATTAGCAAAATGACAAAATTAATTAGTCCACAAATTATCAATCAAGCAAATTAAAACCAATTTGTCAATCCTTTAAGATGATATGGCCGAAAGTTTGATTGAGAAGGATTTTCAAAACTCTTCTCCACTCAAATGTTCAAAGTGTATTTTATTTCACACCAAAAATTAATATAAAATTAATTTTAAATCAAATAAAAAATACCCATATCATTTTTAAACAAGTATACAAATATACTTTAAATAGTTTATGTCAAAATAATTATTTTCATAATTAAAATGACAAACCAAAATAAAATATTCAACATATAATATATATATATATATATTAATCGGCACATATATATAATATATATAGCCAAATATTTATATACATATAATATTACATTTCAAAATATTTTACTTTACTATTTTTACAAATATACAAATTACTTATTATCCCAATGTTTAATCCTACTCCTTAAATTGTCCAAAGTGTGTGACCCGTATAGGCACTTATAAAGCTGGCCACAGTATTGGCTCTGCACCAATACTATAAGCAATAAACGGTATCTAGCAACACATTATTGCCCCCAGATTATAAGTTAAGACGTTTGCACCGTCAAAACCTTTCCACGACTCAGACTCCGTGTAACTGTATCCCTTTGTCTCAATGTCTAAACTTAATGCAAGGGATTAATAAAATCCAACTTGTATCCATTAAGTCATTCACTAATTTATCAAGTCTGACTAATAGGAACAGACGTCATATAAGCATCTCAGCATGGCCATGCAATTTCCTTAGTCATAACTTATTAGTGGGCCCCATAAGACATTAATCTCTTTGAAAAGAGTTGTGACAAATCCTAAGTACGTTGATGCTGTAAATATAGCTGGACGGGTTAACCGGGTTTAACCTGGACACTTGACCCGTAATATAAAACACACAACAAGAACACAAAGTATGACCTAGACCGGGTAAATCTCCTCAGTCCGAAATATATTTCTTACTCTGTCTCAAGAGTGTACTAGTTTTTAGTGAGAGAAAGAATGGATCCCCTCCTCTATCCAATATCATCATATTTATAGAGGAGGATTTGTGACCTTCCCCTGTTCATCCATGGACAAAATAGGAAA